ATCCTCTCCCGACGTAAATGCAATTCCCTGCGAATTAATACAGCGTCCTCCTCTACAGGATCCTCTATGAATGGACACGCCCTTTTGGTCTCTGCGTGACGGAAACGTGTGCAATCTATGAATGTACTGAAAGATTAAATGAGGTATTAAACACCTTTCACTTTAAAAAGGGGCGGAGACCCGGAGGAAACTCTGAGTTTCCCGAACAAAACCTGCTCCCAAGCAGGTTAGGTTCACAGAGTAAGTTGCCATAGTAACTGACTCTGAGTTTAGATTACCTCTCTTTGTGAAACGGGTTTAACTTACCCCGTTTTCACGGGTTTAAGTTACCTCCGTTTCTGAAACCGAAAACTCCGAGTTGCCCTCATTTCGGGGTTAACAAACTCTGAGTTTCGACAAAACCGCCTTCTTGAAATAGGCCCCAGGTCTTAGCAGTATTGTTGTTTAAGCAGGGCACATGATACAGAGATACCAAGTGCGCCTCAACTCTCTGCTTTCCTCCCACTGTTTGCCTTTGTTGTTCTTGCCTGTCTTGGCTTTCTTTCTTGTCAGTACTCACTCTCTTCCAGTTTCCTACTATGGGTTTGCTTCTAATTAGACTTCAGAAAATACAGAAACCAGAATGTTAGGTGTAGTTATTCTCTCAAAAGCCAGTCACCATCAGCCTGTTTTCATTAACTGATAACAAAAGCCACTTGTTGTTTGAGGGTAAAGAGCCTTTGACAAAGCATAGTGGATGCAGGTGCCTGTGATCAGTGACGTGCTGTGAGGTTGACAGCTAGTGAGGCACTAACTCTTTTACAGTCAGATTTACAAATACAAATTGTCTGTTAACAGACAATGCGTTATGTTTTATATCTCATATCAACATTCTTCACACAAACGTGACCCATATTTAATTTGAGGTTAAAATTTATTCCAGTTGAGCTTATTTCTAACTAGAAATAATAAAAGTTTATGGTCTTACCTTTACTTGTACACGAAATCCATTTGTCAGCTGGTATGTATTACAAACCCTTTTACTGTTCGAATCCAATATTAAAACAAATGTTCTCAATAAAGAAGAT